ATTGCAACAATGAGTAGCTTTCATGGTTCATACATAATCTAAATTTCAATTTGGTTCCAGTCGGCAGTTCAGAAGTTCCTTCGCACAAAAAATAAATAAATAAATAAATGGGTAAAATGAATGATTTCCATTTCACAGGCTCACATGTTCTCATACATCTCAAAAGAATCGGAGTGCGTGTAAATGTACAATATTCTCAATATACAGAAACTTAACAAAAGAAAAGGCTTCTGAACTAGACATATTGCAACAACAATATTCAAACGATTCAAATGAGTGAAAGTAACAGTGTACAAAGGTGAGCAAATATTTACTGACCAGTACCGCTTGATCCATTAGCAGGCTCTTTTATCTCCAATGATGCAGATGATAAACCTGAAAAGTTATATTCCATCATTCGAGAGTCTCTCATCAGTTTCTTTTTTAAATCTATTCTAAAATTCTCGCTCAAACTGCTCGCTGTGGATAGTAGCTCGCCTACTTTAAGGTTCTTAAAAACCAGTAAGTATAATATCCTGTTCTGAAAGACTGAAATGTTAATATCAACACCCGCATTTCATATTTCAGATATACCGAGGTATATTACGCTCAAACTGTTCATAGAGAACCCAAAGAAATGATAATGTTTGTTTTCCATACAGTGAGTCAGAGAAGCATGAAATTATGAAAAATTAGGACCTCCATATTCAGAATCTGAATACAGATGCCATCTTTTAAGCTCCTCTTTGGAATCAAATTTGAAGACGTATCTTTCACTTGGAGGAACGAGGTCTTCAAGGTTCCATGTGAGAGCTGCAAAATTTGACGAAAACTTATGGGGATTAATAGAAGAAAAACTCAAAGAATCAAGTAAAATATTCGGACAAATAAACACACAGCAAAATTTATGCTCTCCCTGTATCATATAAAGTATGAACAACATATTTCAAATCCGAGATGCCTTTTCTACTGCTTCTAGAACTATTGAATTCACTACACTTCCTGCAGTCTCGTATAAATTTATTTCGGAAGAACCAAACGAAAGGGAAACAACACAATAACTATAAGTAAATCCCACACAACATCAAACATCCAAATCAAAACAAATAAATACAACCCAAGTCCTTAAACTCCACCTACTTGGGGCAAGAAAAACACAAATTGTACTAACCGTGAAGCTAAAAAAGAATACGATGGAACAAAAACATTACCTCTTTTAGTTGCATTAAGTGAAGCTTGCCATAATGCACGAAACCTGGACATCCTCACTAATATTTTTTTACGGGCCCTGATAATAAAACACCTGCAGCAGATGAAGGAACAAACGAGATTTTAAATCAACACATCACGCAGTGTTTTTTGTTTATTATTCTTGAAGTGAAGGAAAAAAAGAAAGTATTCCAAATCCTTGTACAAAATTATATCTTGCTAAAACCCAATCAAATGTGGGTAAAATTCAATCCGATAAAAGGTTTATCCTCAAGAGCCCGACAGCATAACTACATATAAACTCGACTACGCAATCAAGAATCGAAAACACACATATATGCTCAACTCGAGCTAAAAAAAACCAGAAAAGAGTAATCACCGGCGTCAACAGAAAGCTAATACGAGAAATTAGATTTGATTATGAAGTTCTTCCTTTCCACTTCAATTTTGCGCTTGCCTCTTTCAAGACCGACTGGACTGAGCTGAGGAAATGAAGGCGGTGAAGGTGAAGCAACAATAATACGACGTCACATAGAGTAAAGTTAAGCCGAAGCTAAAAGTCGCAAAACACACCTGGCACGATTTACAGTCTGCTTGGAGTGAAAATTAAATTAAATAAAGTTACTTGACACTAGGAAGAATATAATATTATTAAAAAAAAGGTATGATCATTGTTAGACTTAAAGTTCATGAAAATTTACTTAAATTATTGTCAAATCATGGTGCAATTTGATATTGATCAAATTTCAACCGCTTTATAATATAGTTTTATTTTATTGATAAAATGGTCTCATAAGAAAGTGGAACAAAATTTATTCCCCAACCACTATATTTTAGCCAAAAAAATTACACTTTTCCAAAATCATATAATTGTTAAGAAAAAAAAAATTCAATGTACAGATATATTTATAAAATAAAATAATCCAAATTATTTATTTGGTGGTTAATTTAAAACGAAAAATTTTCTAACAAAAAAATAAATACTTATTTTACAAATATTATACTATTTTCATATTACATTTAATTTTTAAAATAAAACGTACAATACTTTATTAATAACAATTTAATAACATGTATGAAATGAAAGAGAACTAACAATTAATAATAATGTATATAATTAAGTAGAGTAGAAGGCTGTCATCATGTCATGGAATCATTTCATGAGAGATTTTAGCCTTTGAATATACATAAAAGTTAGTTATTATAGATAATCAATGGCTAAAAATCATAGTTTTCAAACCCGGCCCGAGAATTGACCCGGGCAGGTCTTTGGGTCACCAGGTCACCAGTTCAACTGCTGGATCATCGGGTCAATTTCTGAACAGAATAATTAATTTTAAAATTTTTAATATTATATATAGAGTATGTTGTCATATAAATAACAAAATTAAATACTTTGTATATAAAATTTGTACATTAAAGTGTCAATAATATGTATCTCATGATAATATTTACTATATAAATTTATATACATAGTAGATATTATAACCCAAAATTTTTTTTTTTTTTTG